GCACAGTATCCTGTCTCTGGATGGCACCATGACTTTTGGGGGTTTAGGTCGAGCAGCAGGCCTTGAAGAAATCCACCATCAACAACCCCAACCATGACGTACACAGCGTATTAGTGGACAAGGCTCATGCAGGCCAAGATCTCTCTCACCAGCCTGCACCTGATCTAGCAAAATACAGCGATAAACGGAAAATGCCAGAAACCCTCTACAGCTTTGTTCATGCTTCGCAGAAACATCCCGCTTCACTTTCCCATTGTCTAGTCAACAAATCTTTACTCTTTAACTTCTCGTATCTTGTACCGAACTGGAAACATGAAAGAAAAACCCGAATCATATTTCTGCCACATCTACAGTAGGCCATAGTCCTCCCAACCTGCAGCTATGACGATCCGAGATTATTTAATAGGTCGACCTAATTATAAACTCCATACCTTCCCTTTGGCTTCGAGGGGTCGTCACAAGACCCACATAAGAGAGAGAATTCTTAGTGTCTTCTAGTCTACGAGAACAACTTCGTGTTATTCCATCGACTGCTTTTAGCATAAGAAAGTCCGACCACATTGGTTTCCTATCCCACTTCAAACCACCCTTTCCGATGATTGCTATTTCGCCAAGACCAGCTGGGTGACGGAGGAGGCCGGTGGGGTTTGGTGCTACCAGATGGAAATGGGTGGCGGCTCCAGCCAGAATCAGTCCCACACTCATTTTTTCAAGTTATTTATAGCTGAGGAAAACCAAAAAAAGAAAAGAAAAGAAAAGAAAAGAAAAGAAAAGAAAAGAAAAAAGAAATAAACCTACTGGTGGTTTAAGCAACCCTTTTACCAGATCTGGGGCAAACAGTCACACTCCTTTTCGAAAATTGTCCATTATTCTTTTCAAATTCACATGGTACCCTTGTGATCTCTGGAATCAACCTCGCCCTATCAAAGCCTCCAAAAGAGGGAAAGTTTTCGTTTTTTTTTCCAACTTTGAAGTAATGTGGAGTGCCCTTAGATGTGCCCCATTGAATTCTGTCTGACCAAAGGATGCACATGGGATATAAACACGGTCCGAGTGCTCAAAGAGGTCCGAGATTTTCATGACGAGAGTTCCGGGCCAACCCTCAACCAGCGATCGAAATCGAACGTTTGGAGGCCATCAAGGCTGACTCTCAATGTGCGCCGCTGTGCTAAATGTTTGCAGCCACACCACTACAACAAAATGTGGTGTATAGTTTGGAGGCCATCAAGGCTGACTCTCAATGTGCGCCTCTGTGCTAAATGTTTGCAGCCACACCACTACAACAAAATGTGGTGTATACAAAATGTTTGCAATTCTACACAACCGTCAACCACAGGCCGCAATTCTATGTAACATAGTTTTCTTTCTCCGATTTGCATAATTGTCCTTTTTTTATTTGTGTCAAGGCTGTCCGGGACATTGGCTAGGACTTCGCTACGGCTGTCTGGGCCTCTGTGCATACCTGCACGGTTGCACCTGCTGGGAAAACCAGGCAGTCCGCGTCCTACAGAAATAAAATCCACAAAGATAGATCTTTCACATTCGGTCCATCATCCCTATCCTTCGTTTGACGGAATACAAAATTAGTCGAACTGATGCAATGCTCTTTACAACCCACCTGCACCTCTCTTCATGGCCAGGGTTACATAATAAAATCACTACAGGCTTTCTTTTCTTTTTTCCCTTCAAATAAATGCTCCAGTCTATTCGTGGGGAGCAGCACGTGCTGGGAACCGGGCCCAGCGCACCATATCGATTTGTACAGATCATTGAGAAAATTTGAGATCATATGAGATATTGGGGCCATTACCCGGCTTCGGCTAAGGAACAACTCTTACATCATAAAATCACTACAGGCTTACATCATAAAATCACTATTGCAACAGGGTGCACGGAGCTGCTTTGTGTGTGTGTGTGTGTGTGTGTGTGTGCACGCATGTGTGGGCACCTACACAGACAGACACAGACACACACACACACACCATAGCCAAAGTACACAGTCCTCGCTTAGGCAGAGTACACAGACCGGAGTACACAGACCTCGCTTTGGCACAGTACGCAGACCTCGCTTAGCCTCCCTTTTTCTCCTCTCTCTCTGTGTGTATAAAGGGCCCAAAGTGACGCTTCCCAGCCGGCCGAGGGAAATTGGTGCCTGGCAGCAGTCCCTGTACAAGGGAAAATTGGTGCCAAGCTGAGGGGTGTTTTCAAAAATTTCAGAGCATACCGGGAGATTCACTCTCACTTAGCTTATTTGGTGAGAGCACTGGAGCGAGCCCATCATCCTGTCGTTTTGCAACTGTTCGGGATTGATTGCAGGCGGTTTTTCTTTTTCCCCCGGGTTCAGTTCTGTTTCCCTCGAGTTTGGCAGGATGATCTGGCAGTGGGATGCACGCATCAGCGTTTCGGGCAAGCCTGCCAGAACGATCAAGCACGGGGTCGACATGGAACTTACCACGTTGGCGCATTTGGTGTCGAGGGCAATGGGGCTGGCGCATTTGGTGTCGAGGGCAATGGGGCTGTAAGCGGGTAGAGAGGGAGGCGGAAGGGGTTAAGAGGACGGCAGCTGCAAGAGGGCTGTGAGCAGGTATAGAGGGATGTCCCAACGGTAGAGAGGGAAGTCGCAAGGGGTAAGAGGATTGCACCTACATGTGGGCGGTTGGATGCCTGTCTATCTCTATGCACGCATGGCTGGAACAGTGGCAGTGTATATTTCCATATTTTAGCGGATTGCTCATCTTATAGATGGAAGTACCATGGCTTTCGATGATTCATTCCGGTTTTGCTCATCTTATAGATGGAAGTACCATGGCTTTCGACGATAGTAGCCTCTCTCTATCTCTCTGCGTGCACGGCTGGAAAGCAATGTATATTCTTGCTTATCCTATCGATGGAAGTAGCCTCCCTCTATCTCTCCGCATGCATAGCTGGAACACACTCTCTGCGTGCATGGCTGGAACACTCTCTCTCTGCGTTCATGGTCGGAACACACTAAGCTTCCATAAAATAGAGTTATTATATTAATTATATTTATTTCAATTTAAACTTTATCTTTCATTCTTGTAAATAATAAATGGAAATAGAAATCTCTGGAACACACTATCTCTGTGCGTGCATGGCTTGAACAGACTCTCTCTCTCTCTCTCTCTCTCTCTCTCTCTCTCTCTCTCTCTCACACACACACACACACACAGGGGGGCAACATTTCCAACTGACAGCCCCTTGATCCACAAACACACCGGGGATTTCTTTTCAATGTATCTGGCCATCACGGTGTATCTTCCTATATTCTTGCAGAAGATTGCTTCTCATTTTGCACAGTGGCAGGTTGCTCAGTTGATGCACACATAAAACTGTTGACTTGCAGACGTGAGTTCAGATCCAGTGGCGACCAACAATAAACGCGACATGCTGATGCCTTGGCCGGTGTGAGGGCAGGAGGAGGTCCAGAGACGATGTGCATAGGGGAGGGGGGTCACGCAACGAGTAGGTCGGACAAGGGGGAGGAGGTCCTAGGAGGGGGAGGAGTGGGTGGTCCAAGCGGGAGGAGGATGTCATGGGAGGAGCAGGAGCAGGTCGCACCATGGGGACGAGAGGTTGCACGAGGTCGAAGGAGGAGGTCGCACCGGTGGGAAGAGGTCTTGCTAGGGGGAGGAGTTCACAAAAGCAGAAGCGGGCTGCACCGAAGGGCGACGTTGCAGTCTCCCGCAAGGGGGGAGCTGTGTAAGAGAAAGAGAGAGACTCCTGTTTTTGAGGGGGGGGGGGGGG